GGGTTGCCGCAGAATTTTTAAAATGAAATTTCCTGACATTTCTCTGGCACATTTTGGTGAAATTCCCTGACAATTGAATACATACCACATGGATAAAAATACATTATTATGGAAATAGTTCTCTGACAAAATTTGTTGTTTGAAACGTCAAACCCATTCTAAAAAGTAAATAAAGGTGACTGAACAATTTTTCCCTGACAATTCCAGGTTTTCTCTGACTCTTTGAAATTCCCTGACATTTCCCGGTTTTCCCAGTATCCCTGACTGTGGCAACCCTGATAGGAAGAGTATAGTCACCGAAGGATCTACTTCGGATTGGCTAAGCCACCTTGGGCTTCATAGAGCTCTAACGATAAAAGGAAGGCGGAGGATGCGTGCAGACGATTCAAAATGATGGAAATGAGATTTAATAGCTTCATTTAACGTGTCTACATGAAATTACCATTTGAGTAACTTTCATTTTCTCATGTCGAGGCTTCTCCTCATATTTTTATCCTTCTCTATGAGACCACTGTTGATAGACTAAAAAATAAAAATGGACCGCGTTTAGTAGAAAGGAACCAAGTCACATGAGCTATTGCCAAATTTAAGTCAGCAATTTGATTTTTGACAAGAGAACGTTTGTGCGGGTTTCTTTGAAAATTGCACGGAATTCGCTTCGTACTTTGTGGGAAATTCTCTGAAATTTGTACAAAAATCCGCACAACCGTTTTCATGTAACAAATAGAATTCTACTTGGGTTTGGTTCCTTTCTGCTTAAAGCGGTCCGAATATACTGTTGAATTCATATGGTAAGAAAGTCAGAAATTTCTGTGTTTTTCCACGGATTATTTTTTCACAGAAAAAAAAATCTCGGTGTATTTACTAAGAAAAGGGTAAAATTACCAAGAATTCAGGGTTCTATTTGATCCCAGTTTTTTCTTGGTAAAATTACCATTTATGGAATTGGTAATTTTACCGAGAAATCTTGGTAAAATTATTGAACTTTCTCGGTAATTTTACTGAACCTTAGTAAAAACGCCAATATTTTTTATCGACTGTGGTAGAATTACCGAGATAAAATGGCAAAGTTACCGGGAATTGATTACCAATAATGGTGGTATTCTTACCTGAAAAAACAGTAAAAATACCAGTTTTTAGGTAAGCTTACCCGTCTGTCTTGGTAAAATTACCAATAATTGGTAAAAAAGTGAGATGGTAAAGGTATGAACGGACCGTGGTAAAAACGCCGAGAATTTTTTTTCAGTGTTTCCCTTCCGAATGACATGAATGCTTAGGTATCGCAAATTACTGCCAACCGAGAAAATTATCCACTTCTGGGGGTTTTGTCAACACTGGTCACCACCTGAAAATAGGGTGGAAAAGGCAAGAAACGGGGGAAAGTTGACATTTAAAAATCCGCGCCGGAGATTATCCCCGAGGGAGTGGCGCGCGACAGGATGGCTTAAGTCATTAATTCGGGGGAGGCGGGTCGGGGGGATAGAGGTCATTTCATATTTTGTCCCTGATTCCTATCTCGCATCATTCAGTAAATGTATTCTGTCTTGAGTTGCGCCCTGGGGACTTGGTGCCCATAGACGAAGACTGCGAAACATTACGCGATGAATTTTATGATGCATGTCGTATTGCCGCTTGCATGCGTACGAGGCGATGCAAGGAGTTTCTCCTTGTTTACAGTCCCATCTTCAAGATTTACAAATTCAGGGCAGGATAAGGGGTCATTCATGAAATACGTCACGCACTGGTAGAAGGGAGAGGGTCTCGAGGGTCTGATCAAACGCGACGAGGAAGAGGAGGGTGACTAAGGGCGTCACGGCGTCACGCATTTTCTCTGTAGTTTTGGTAAAAATATCGGGAAAAATGCCGATTCATTCCGTAAAGGAAGGAGGTATCTAGCAACGCGGGTGACGTAATTTTTGATGGGATTAAGACTTGTGCGACAAGGAGAGGAGGAGGGTCTTAACATTCTTTTTTAGAGCATGAGGTAATTTTATGAAAGGGCCCAAGACAGTTTTTTTTAACGTTCCGGTATTACAATTTTTAGGACAGAACACAGTGCGTTTCGTGCTGCGACACTTCAACTAACCGTATTGTTTGATGCTCAATCTAAATTCTTAAATTATTTCGCGTTTTTATATGCGTCTTCGACTTTCTTGGCTTCCCCTGACACTAGCAACCCAGCTCTAGATGAGATAATTCCCTGACTCTTGAGGTTTTCATAATTCCTTGACTTCCCCGTTTTCCCATGGACACTTAAACCTCCGCTTTGAATAAAAAATATTCCCTAGCCACCGTAAAAATTTTCTGACTTTTCCCATTTTCTCTGACAATTTCAACCTTGGTCGAAGTTTCTTTCAGAAAAATTATAATCTATCTTTCTCCCGTACGGAGGAAAGGAAAACCTCGGTTTGCGAACCGATAAGCTTAGAGGTTTGGAAGTTGAAATTTCGGTAGTGCGCACTGACCTCTACGAGTGCCAAAACCGAATTTCAGTTCGATAAACCGAAGGCTCGGTTCTATTCAACGCGTCAATGTCTCACAATCAATTCACTAAACCAAAACCCTCCGGTTGATACAAAACTTACTCAACTCCGTACAAGCCAAAGTTTACCGGTTAGTTGAAATTAATCTTCGCTTCACAGAATTGAGGTTCGGTTCTATCAACCAAAGTGGTCGGAGCGCGTGATTGAGAGCTCAGATCTCTATTCCAAAAAGCGTCTACTGAACTTCAGTTCCTATAATCGAAGTTTGTTCTTCTCAATGTGTAATTTTTTCAGACAAAGCACTGAAAAAAAAATCTCGGTGTTTTGACTAAGAAAAGGGTAAAATTACCAAGAATTCAGGGTTCTATTTGATCCCAGTTTTTCGTGATAAAATTACCATTTATGGAATGGGTAATTTTACCGAGAAATCTCGGTAAAATTATTGAACTTTCTTGATAATTTTACTTGAACTTGGTAAAAACGCCAATATTTTTTATCGACTGTGGTAGAATTACCGAGATAAAATGGCAAAGTTACCGGGAATTGATTACCAAAAAAAGTGGTATTCTTACCAGAAAAAACAGTAAAAATACCGGTTTTTAGGTAAGCTTACAAGTCTGTCTTGGTAAAATTACCAATAATTGGTAAAAAAAAGTGAGAAGGTAAAGGTACCAGCGGACCTTGGTAAAAACGCCGAGAATTTTTTTTCAGTGAGTATGAACGGAGGAGCATCTACAGTGATTTAANGGGGGGGGGGGGGGGGGAGGCTCGTTCACACCATAGTATGCTCCCGAGCACAAACAATTGGAAAGCTGCCACGTTTGAAAGCAACGAGGTAACGAACGCTCGTCCGGCGGTAATTCCCACAGTTTCTCAAGTGCGCGTTTTTACGCATCTCCGTTCCCTTCCCCCTCGCTCGCCGCGAATCGACGGAACTAAGCTTCCCTAAAAATAGTCAATTTACCGAATTTAGAACGCGGCTCTCAGAATCGGTGCTAAATCGGCGTTCAGCGTGCAAAATTGTTGTTTCCTGAGGATAAGACATGGCCGAATTTAGACACTTATGGGGCTCCCTCGGCTGCTGGTTCCCTAAATTTTCAAGAAGTGGAAATTTTGCCGATAAAACGTTTCATTTAATTTTCTTGTTGATCCACCCCCTCCCCCCCACCTCTGAGTGACAGGTGGAGACTTTTACTTTCGGAGATTGTCTCTTCTCTTTTGTCTATTGCAACCACTCGCTTCCACCAATAGGATCTCTTCATATCTCTTCCGTCTTCTTTTTCTGTCGCTTTGGTTACCAATTTCAACAATCAGCCTGCTGAGACTGATTCTGAGAGAGGACCGAGCGAAGTGCCGAAAAAATAAAATCGAGTTATTAGTGCTTACGCCAATAGGATTCCCCCATATGCTTTTTGTCATATTTGTCCATCGCTTTGTCTACCAATTTCAATTATCGGCCCCCAGCCCGCATCCTGCTGATGCGACGTAAAATGGCGATGTTGCATGTGCGAGGGATTTGCGATTCGACCATTGATTCGTATGTAAAAGTTCGCGAAAAACACGATGGTGCCACTGGTTTTCTCTGAAATCATCTCCCAAGCTCAAAAAAAGCTCTCAAGTTGAGGCTGAAATGGAGGGGATATCCCACCCTACCCTGAGAGTCCACGTCTACTTCAAGACAAACTCTCCATGCAAAGACAGGGAGAAAATACATTGACAGGGCTGCCACTTTACTTGGGGACTCCAAAACTGAAAACACGGCAACCCCACTAATGTATTTGCTCCCTATCTTTGCATGGAGAGTTCGTTTTGATGTAGAGGTGGACTCTCAAGGTAGGGTGGGATATCCCCTCCATTTTGGCCTCAACTTGAGAGCTTTTTTGAGCTTGGGAGTCGATTTCAGAGAAAACCAGTGGTACCATCGTGATTCTTGCAAACTTTTACGTAAGAATCAACAGTCAAATCGCAAATTCCTCCCACATGCATCATCTCCATTAGGGAATTTGAAGCTTATAAATCCGTTATGCGAAATGTTGAGGTTTTAAAGATGGTCCCCCTCAAAATTAAAAATTTTACGAAACCCTGGTAGAAATTGGCGATAGAAGCTGCGTTTCGAAATGCCACAGGAGTTCTTAAAGCCAACTAAAGAGGGCTATTGAAAATCATATAGCTGGCTGTAGAAAGCGGAGCAAATCATACAGCCGGTCTATACGAAGCTAATGTATTTGCTCCTAATGTGTTTCTCGCGAACTTTAACATTAGAATCAACAGTCAAATCGCAAATCCCTCACACATGCAACATCTCCATTATGGTTTCGATGCGTTCCAGCTAAAATTGGTCCATTCGCAAACGTTCGCAAGGATGCGTTGACGTTGTTGATCCAGGATGCGGGGGCGGACCGGGGAACGTGGCCCGGGCGCATGGATCTGACATGCCGCGCCACGAGACGCTGCATCGGAGCGTGGGACGCGGGGGGGTGGAGGCGGGGGGGTGTGACAGGGAGGGAGTGCACTTACTTGCAGTAGTAGAGGCGGTTGTCGTGTGTCACGTGGACGCTCCAGCCTGGGTTGAGTTTATTTTGGATCTCCTCGAGATGCTCGTGCTCCTCGCGCTTCTTCTCGTCGTCGCCGGCCGAGGGTCCGCCGCCGCCGCCACCGCCACCGCCGCTGCTGTTCCAACCGGCTTGCAGCAACATGAGCGCGCCGCCATACAACCTCAACGCATGCTAATCAATTTACACGCACCGGCACCGGCCCAACGGAGACGTCCACGTCCGACGTCCGACGGCCGACGTCCGACGTCCGACCCCGAACACAGCACGTAACGGCACACGAAAACGGGGCTTCCCGGGTCCAGACGCGACGTCAACGTCGTTCGACTTCCACTTAGATTCGCTCCCGGCACTTACTTCCGCTTTCCCGACACACCGAGATTATTATTCGCACTCGAGTTCACCTGTGAGAAAAGGATGCTGAACATTGACTATACTGTATCGGTAGCTTGGAGTAAGAGGCTCACAGGATTTACGCCGAATAAGTTTACGCACTTTTAGGCTGCGACAATAGATCGTCTGACGTCACTTAAGTGACGTCAAGATGCCTTGAGTGCAATCAAGATGGCGCATCTTCTGCCGCAGTCTAAACGCAAGTGAACTTATTTGGCGTGGACTCCAAGTTTACGCACTTTTAGACTGCGACGAAAGATCGTCTGACGTCACTTAAGATTCAAGATGGCGGATCTTCTGTCGCAGTATGTAAGTGCGTGAACTCGGCGTGGACTCAAACTAAACTTTCGGAAATATTGAGTTTTTTCATCCGCGTTTACACCCGAGAAAATTAAATCTTAATCAAATTTTTTTTTTTAAAAGAAACTTGTGGGCATTCGGGAAGTACATGGACAGGGTTTAGCTTTCAAAACCTGGTGCACCGTTCTCCTTTGATACTCAATACTTCTCAAGTTGTCAAAAAAAAATTCGGCACTCGAAAAATTTTTCGATTTGAAAAAATTGAATTATGTCCGACTCTAGATCCATTTCAGTAAAAATCTGGTTTTTTTCGCTAATTCTTCATTTAGGAGTTGCATTGTAAATATTTCTATGTGCCCATCGCGTTCTACCTGAGCCTCTGAAGCAAAACAGCAGTACTGTGGTGCTCGATTGACCAATGTATCAATCATAGAAACCTTACTCAGTATGCACCATTACGGTGGATGACGTCAGTGACCATTTCTTCGATGGTTAAACCTCGATTAATAGTGAAAAAAGAGACTTAACTTTCAGACGGATCTTACTTTTGCCTTAATTCTAAAATTCGACCATTGAAATACGATTCTACAACGGCAATTCTATGATAGACATGACTGATCGATTGTGTAACCTACGTCTGATGTCAGACTGACCGACTTTTACCAGCGTATGGTGAAGGGGGGAGCGGGCGGCGGCGGGTAATGACATGAATTATAATTCTACTGTAATTACACCTTCATTTCCGAGAACTAAAACCTCAGTAAAATCCTTTGAGACAAATTAAGGCTTACTACGTCTCCGATTCTTTTCAACAATCCAAGTGAAACTCAAAATCTATCTTCGAAACGATTCCGCTACTTTATGCAGAAAGTACGTGCCACCTCAAATGAAAGCTCGCTAATCAACACTTATTAAAACGGATAGCATTAAGTGTTTAAGACACTTGCCAGAACCACTTGTTCCCTTACATACGACTGAAGAAGATAGAGGACTGAAATAATTAGCTGAATTTGGCCCATTATTGAACTGGTCCGTTTACAACTGAGCTCCAAAACTGGAGCAGCGGCAATTTATAAAAGCTAGGAATTAAGTTCTCATTACGAGGTCTAATTAAATGGTATTTGGTGACAAGTAACGAGAATTTTTGGGGAAATAAGTCTGTTTATCAGTTCGGGGTGATTGAGTAGCCTGATCTTACATTATAGTTTTTCTGGTGCCGAATGTTGGTCTCGGGGTTCTCTTCTAGAGAAATTTTAAAATATCAACTTATTTTATCCTTTCACCCTAAGAACAAATTTGATGAATTTTTTTGTCGATGCTCTCTGACTCTTAAAATACAATGTTTCAATGATCTCTTTTTTAGAATCATCAATCTCATACTTAATCTCATGGTATTGCAGAATTTTTAACGTAAAGCAACACCGCATGCTGCCTCCCCCTTCACCGAAAGATGTAAACTATATACCTAGATTCATTCTTTTGACATTGTTAATTCTTCTAATTGGTCTCCAAAATCATTGTAATACCTCTCACTTATCTCAATAGTTTAAGGGACCAAATGTGGGAAATGATAGACTGGAAATAATGAAAAGCACATCCCAAAATCCCCAAAATTGTTTTTGCCCACAGCTCCACGCTAAAAAGAAGAATGTACCATATTTTTCGAATTAGCACATATTCCACAGAAAATATTACATGAGGCCAACTGCTGTGTTTTCGCTTCATTTTTATTCCTGTGTTCAAATATGTGCCTGAGTGGGAGTCAAAGCGGACTAGACATCCCTTATACAGTTTCTTATACTTAACAGTTATACTTAAACAGTTTCTATTGAGGTAGTTCTACGACTCTGAGGAATTATTTAACTTCCAACATCCCCCATGCAACCTTGGACTCTATCCACTCCCTGTAAAAATTACTGACTGCGCAATTGACTACGTCATGGATTAAAATGGCATGGAATAATGTTATTTTTAACAGAATACTCTCACAGCGGATAATTTAATGGAACTCTTATTTCTGTGCACCCTAAAATCTGACAAACGGGGTTAAACCTAGAAAAGCACGTTTATCGCTTGCGAAATGGTACAACGAAACTATACTACGACCAAAGCTTCCCAAAATAACAATAAGTTTTTCACGTTTTACTCATTTGCTTAGTGCGGAAAAACGAAAAGAGAAAAGTGCAACGCCGTAATTTGAATAAACAATTCCTTACACAATAATTAAAAATTACAAGATTGGAAACTAGGTTGCCTTTTTCTCGTTGCGTCGTGAAAAGGCGGCAAAATAATTCGCAACGTCGTAAACTTGAACACGTGTTTTTCACGTTGCCTTTTCAATGCGCCCAAAGCAAAAACCACATCTTCTTTTCCGTCGTTAAGTAGACAAAAAAGTCGACATTTCATTAATACTTGTTACTAGAATATATGAAATCCTAAAAACTTCAATTGTAACAGACCTTTTCGACCAGGGGACCATCACCAGTGGTTATTAAATAAAACACACGAATACAACAATTAAATCTGAGTAGAATTAAATAGAGTAAACGGCGAATTCAAGATAAAACGAAATTCTTGAATAAGTCGTTTATTTTACTTTAATTGAATTTGTCGTCTTCTTAGGTTTCTTATTAACCGCTGGCGACGATGATCGGGTCGATAAGATCTTATGCTACGAAATCTTCAAAGCTATTAAATTTTTAACGCCTCGGTATGTCATTTTGTCTTTTCTGTGATGTATTTCATTTTGTGGTATATTGCAAATAAAAGAACAATGTGTAATTTTTAACGTACTCGGAAAAAATTTAAATTGCTGATTCAACAATTCAATTGTAAAAAAAGTGACTGCAATGTCTCAATGTAGATTTTACAACACAAAAATGCTACTTTAACCACCCCAGTGGTTAAATTAGCTTACAATAGTCGTTAAAGTAGAATTTTTTTGTTGTTGAATCTACGTTGAAACTTTGTAGTCACTTTCTTTAGCAATTGAATTGTTAAATCACCAAAATTGTTTCCGTGTAAGTTAGGGTCGTTACGATAACAGGGCCTGAACTGCCGTGCTAAGGAAGAACGCCGTATGAACATTCGAGAGTTGCCAAATTTCCTTTGTTAAAATGTTCATTTCTAAGAAAAGTCATGAATATTTTTCCTTGAGATTTTCAGGAGCTTTACGCGAAATTGCGAACAAAATTATCTGAAAAATTGGAGGAGAAATATTCATAGGTTTACCAGGAAATTCGTGATTTATCCACGGAAATTTGGCAACGCCTAAAGGTTCATACGGCGTTTTTCCTTAACACGGCCTCAAGGGCCTACGAGCGGCAGAACACGGGGACTTCCAACGAATACTAACAAGTTACGGAGCACGGGAACGGAATCCGACGGAAACGGGGTCCAAAAGCACACACTACCCCCGGAAAACAAGGATCCAAGTCACAGGTGGTTAGGTGAGATACTCGCGTGGAGCACCTGACAGCCGAACGCACTCGCGGGGGATCGGGGCTCGAGGGGCGCCCCGCGGGGGGGTTTCGGGGATCACGTGAGGGGCTCACTTCACTTCGGGAACGGAGCGCGAGGCGACGCGGTGCCGCGCTGAGATCGGGATCGTCACTGAACTGGGCGCCGCGACGCGCCAGCGCCAGCGCCCGAGCCGAGCGCCGAGGGCCCGACGCCGCGAAATTCAGCGCGCATCGCGACGCCCCCCCCCCCCTCTCCATCCAAGGCCCACGGCATAGCCGCGGGTGCCCGCGTTGCCGGATCGGCGCGCAATGGGACAAGTCAATGGAGGAAGTCGGACACAATGGAGATGTTGGTGTTGGCTATGAGAACTCCTATGGCATTTTGAAACGCAGCTACTATCGCCAATTTTTACCAGGGTTTCGTAAAATTTTTAATTCTGAGGGTTGCCTTTCAACGAGAATTGTACGGGAAAACAAATGGGACCATTTTAAAACCTCAACATTTTGCAAAACGGATTTATAAGCTTTTAAATTCCCTAATGGAGATGTTGCATGTGGGAGGAATTTGCAATTTGACTGTTGATTCTTATGTAAAAGTTCGCGAGCAACACGCTGGTGCTACTGGTTTTCTCGGAAATCGACTCCCAAGCTTAAAAAACTCTCTCAAGTTGAGGCCAAAATGGAGGGGATATCCCACCCTACCCTGAGAGTCCACCTCTACATCAAGACAAACTCTCCATGCAAAGATAGGGAGCAAATACATTGACAGGGCTGCCACTTTATTTGGGGACTCCAAAACTGAAAACACGGCAACCCTGCTAATGTATTTGCTCCCTATCTTTGCATGGAGAGTTTGTCTTGATGTAGAGGTGGACT